TATCTGAATTGAATACAGAGACATCACTCTCATTTCCACTTTTCGACAGAAACGGAAAAAATGAACTAATTATCGTTAATGGGAAAAATCCAATTTACTTTCTTTATTGGAAAAAAAGTTAAATGGAAAAACTTTTTACATATTTCGGCGGATGTACACCTACTATCCGCCGCTCGAGTGTGATTCAAAGAGATGAGACAACTGACGAGAGAGGAGATGAAAGAAAATCGTGCCAAGCCTCTTTGTACTTTGTTCTGGTTGCTCTGGATCATCCAAAGAATTTTTAAATTCTATACAGCTAATGTTGCGTCAATTTTCGAACGTTTGAAGCAAAATAAATAATTTGCAACGTAAGAAAGTTTGCGAAAGAAATTGAAATTAAAACCACTCATTCAGCCTGTTTCACAAATCTTTCTATGGTGGAGATAATGGTGTAGCATTGTTGTAAAAAGTAAACGAACACGAATGCATGCTATAAAAATGTGGCGATATTAATTTAAATCTCTTCAAAAATTTTTAACTTTTGCATAGAAAATGTTACTATTGTTAAGAAAGATAGAATTACTTTATATTGAAAAAATTATAAAATATTATAAAAATGATAATACAGGAAATCTTATCTTCCGTTTAATCATTTACTTAACTGATACAACTCTGCAGGAATACCATAAAAATAAACCTTCCATGGTGCTTGAAACATTTAACCGGGATTAGATAAGACGGTTTATAGTCATTGAAAAAGTCGTTTCAACAAATTCTGTTTCAAAGTATAATAGCATGTAAATCTATGAATATGTATTTTCTCACGAACGTCTCGCGGGCGTACGCAAAACAGTTTATGGGTGCGCTTTTTTAAAAGTTATACAACGCCCGATTCGTAATTTTTATTCGAAATAAATTTAATATGGTAATAAATATCATTCAATTAAGAAACCGCGCTAATAACGATAATAGAAACTGAGCAGAATTAATTCTGATAAAATGCAAGGCAAAGAATAGGAAATTCTGAAAACAGATTATTTTTAAACGTGAATAGACTAACTGAATGATCCTACTGGAATATTCAAGTGTCGAGGTACTCTGATAAACGTCCTTACATTAGGTATAATAAGGGATTCAGGTAAAAATGCAAAAACGTTGCAATTCATAAATACATTCTTTTTTTGAATATGGGTGAAAGTTTTATGCTACTATCGATAAAATAGTGTCCGTATTAATCTGCCAGTAATGATACTAATAAATTTATTCTCACATCGCTTCATAAATTTTGAATTGTAAAATTTTATCGGTCAAAGAACAAAAGTTTCCTTTCTCGGCTATCATCTTGATCAAAATGAATCTCTCAGGTTCGTTTATAGCGGACATCGAAAGTTAATCCGTTGTAATTTTGTCGAAAGTCGACGGATCCGGATTTTAACAAGTCTAACCGAGACATATTTCTATAGATCGCAAGTTTACAGAAGCGGGCGACTTATTAGCTTGGAAGAGTTCAACTCTCATCTAATTGCTATTCAAAGGATTGTACAAAGGAAGACAGCCGAGAACAAAGTTCGACGTTGGGCCGCAGGCGATTCCCGAACCGATGGAAAATTATTAAGCCCTAACCGACATTGTTCTTGACGGGTGCGTGCCTGCACCAAGTCCAATAATTAGACTCAACTTCATAGAAAATTCCTCCCTATAAGTTGCTTTTGCTTTTCGACAAGTTGCCATGCATCCGCTAAATGGAACAACTCTATAGGAACTTTACTACTGGTACGAAGACAACGAAATCTGCTTAATCGAAGCAACTATTTTCCAAAATCGGTTATATCGATTTTGTAATTGCACCTGATGATAAAGACAACGTTCGATTGGCCGTAATCGATACAGATCGAAAGATTGAAGCAAGGAAAAATATTTCTCGTGATGGGTTTGACACGACAACTCGGACGATCGAACGTTCACGTAATTAATTAAACAGAACTAATTGGATGTTGTACTTTACTTACACGAACATCCTCGAGTAGCCACAGAATCGTTTAACTATTAAACGAAGTTCTCGAGTATTCGAGATCTACGATCCTTCCTGGCTAAAAGCTCGAAACCACCGAAAAGCCTTTAAACTTTAAAGCCAACTTTCGGAATATGCAACGAGATCATCATTCTTTTCTGCTTTGCTTACAACGTGTAAGTTGCGTTATATAGTCAGAAAGTCATGAAGGGGTATTAAACTTAATGTAAACATATATGCCACATAATGCCGGAAATTAGAGGAATTAAACAAATTTTTATATCCTTTTTCATACCATATCGCGTAAATTTTTAATAAACTCGCGCCTATACATATATGTATGTCGGATTAAGGTTAGAATTTTGGGCGTTCGATGAACCTTCACTCAAATTTACCATCGCGGATATTTATTGGTACAAATGTGGCCACTACAAGAGGCTATAAGTAATAGCGGTGATCGGATGGACGAGATGTTGATGACAACGAATTCAGGTTCGATAACGAATCCACGGTCCACGGGATGACGAATGCGATGCGATACACGTATAATTCCACGTGCAAGTAAAGCTTATTTGCATGAACTTAAAAAAAATCCAAGTGGAACTGCCCTTATATATTCCTCTCCCCACCTCTCGAGTCAATCTTTGTTTTTAAGGAGGGCTATATAATTATTCCATACCTCTGTTACGTACACGTCCCTCCCGTGACCGTGGCTACTTTCAGTGACCCGCTACGTCACTTCGAGCCTAAGCCCATCGTCATAAAATCGGATTAGAACATTAAAACTATTTCATATTTTTATTACTTAAGTGCAGCTATAGTAAAAGTCTGGACTAGGGTATTGGGGTTCTTTCCAACATTCCAAAAGGAAAGTCCCGATGTTCTTTCATCTCCGACATGTATATATATAGTATATACCTAGCGATCATATTTTCAATCGCAAAATGGGCTGCCATAAATCTTTTCCCCTCATAACCTTTCATTTATAACCATTCCGAAAATTCATGCTTCATCCCTTCTGATGAATTTCAAGTCTTGTGATATTTGCAATTTCGCAATAAACCGTGAAAATTACTTTGTAGAAGTCGGAAACGAATTAAGAACAAAAGTAATCGAGGAAGTGAAGGAAGAAAAACCAAAGACACGGTGCATTATTCGTAATTAAATCCATTATCAATGACAATTTTAACTGACACCCTAACCCTTGCCCTCTTTATATCATTCAACACCAACCTGTCAAATTATCTTACGATCCTACCAGTCGACGAATAATGCTCGAATACGAAAGTTTTCTTTCTCTGCGCAAGCAAAATCATTGGTTATAGCGGAAAGTACAGACGATACGAAAAGCCTTTTCACACGAACGTAGCTAGTAAGTCTATGAACACGAACGAGAGAAAGAGAGAAATGATAGAGAAGGATGGCTTAATACGAAGTCGAATGCAAATACGTTCGCGCGTAATTACAATCTACATGTTTATAAACCTCCTTTGCATGTGATGTGGCTTCTTTTTACCCTCTGCCTGGCTGTTTCGAGACCCGCTCGAGCCTTGTTATCCAGGTCTCGCGCTGTGACGTCAGACCCACTTGGGTTCGTTATAATTAAGCCTAAATTTAGTCAGTGCGACGATAATTGAGCATAGAGTTGCGAAGAACAAGCCGTGATGAAGAGAAAATGCACGAAATTATGCGAACGTCTCGTTTTACTGACTCGAATTTATCATGGTGATTTTGTTTGCGTAGCACGATCAAGTCGTGGATGGATGATTCTAGCGCGGGAAGGATTACTATGAGTATCTTGAATAATCGAAGTTTCGTTGAGAAAATATCGTAAATGGGAAGAATTTGAAAAATTGATATTCGCAATAATAATGGAAAGGAAAAATTGAAGCGAAAACTAGAAACACGATACAGAAAGATAGAACATTTAAGTTGATAGTTATATAATAGAAATAAAATTGATCTTTATTGCCATGTTTAATAATTCGTAATAAAACTAGATCGTAGATCGCGGATAGATTGTATTCATCAACTAAATATATTAAAATTGCTTTTGTTAAGATTACGTAAATTGCAATTTCTAACTTAAAAGAGACTTAAATTTTATCCTTCCTTATATTAAAAATGAAATACTTAAAAATTTTCCTCTTCGAAGACCTACTTGTTTAGCAATTTTGTTTAAAAGGTGAATTTTAAAGAGTAAACTTTGTGATAAAAAATTTTGTGTGTTTGTTGTGTGGCGATAAAAGAGATGCTCGGTACGCCATGAAACGTATTTGCTAACTATAACTGTATATGATTTGAGTAATATTTTATACCACGATGAAAGAAACGCAAAAATTTGGTAATACGACAAATAATATTTCCTACATCGAATTTCACCGAAATTCATATTGCTTTATACATTTAACAGTTTACTTTTAAGTAAATTAATAAAAAGATGAACTCAAGGTATTATTCTTATTTGGAGGAGGTAATTTTACAAACAAGTTAAAGTCGAAAGAAACGTGATGTGTATTCTCTCTTTCCCTCTAATGAAACGCATCATAAACATGCTGAAATGAATTGGCTCGCGATTGTTAGTGAACAGCAACATCGTATTATATTACGAACATACGTTCTACGCTTATTTGCAATTACAAATTTACATACCGAGGTTGAATTTTCTTGTTTTAAACAAAATAAGTATTTCGTATATCTTCTACTTTTTTTAACTTTACTGTCTGAAATTTTTCTAAGTCCTCAATCATCTTAAAGGTACAGCTTCGCCTAGCACAAAACAAATATCACGATTTCATTCGATATAGCTTTTGAAACGAATTTAGTAGTAGTTAGTATTTAGAAAACAATCTAGTAAGCTATAACGCAAACACGTGTTCATGCAATCGAACTTTTGACATATAGTCGTTAACGAACATTAACTAACAACACAACGCGTAATCTCAACAAACATGCTTTTATTTACAATAGCAAATCTATACGTCAACGTTGCAATCTATTGTTTCAGGCGAAGGACGCCGTGAACGAGCTTGAGGGTATCGATCTCACGGATCCTGATCTACACAAGGCAGCGACGAAGATCCAAGCAAGCTTCCGAGGTCACAAGGTCCGCCAAGAAGTGTTATCGAATCCTGTGCACGATGCGCCTAAAAATTAAAGATGAGATTGGAGTGTTGATTTTTAAAAATCAGATCGCCGATAGTATGCCCGAAATAAAACTAAGAACGAAGACGGAAAATAGAGACAAAAAATACAAACATAAAAGAAAAATAAGTCGAACAATCAAAACATAAGCAGTAAATCGGGCTTCGTCTTTGCTTTTTCGTTTGTCGCTGAGTCGAATCCGCTTCATTCTGCGGCACGATTATTATCTAAATTGTACGTTCCGCTGTGATTTGTTTAAAACTGAGCTTGTAAGTTCGCATAAATCTTCAAACACGGATAATCCCCGTCAAACAATTTTCCATCCGAATTCGTACTTACGTATTTTTCGCCCTTTTGGAAATATGGTATTCCAAATATATGGATATTATTTATTCTGGTTATACATGATTTTCAATTTCTATATTGAAGATTCGTTAAATTCGCATTAAGCACACCCGCCTATTTCAGGCTAGTATGCTTATTGCTTAATATTTTAAAATACATGTATGTATTACATACTATCAACATCCTTGTTATTCATATTTCGTCGAGATACGAATCTTAATAGTTGAAGGAACAAATTGAAGAAAACGGACAAGTCGATAAAAAGACCACGCTACTTATAATACCGAGCATAGCATTATAATAACACGTTGAATCGAATCGCGGTCAAGCATGAATGAAATACACTTATTTTAGTAGAAGAAGACTGTTTGAGCTTCACCCACTGGTTGGCCAAAAGAATGAACGAAAAGGAGCTAGACAAAACTAAAGAAACGCAGTGGGAAATTAATTGGCTGGGTAGCCGAGCGAAGCCAGCAGCCTTTTCATAAATTCGAAGCGCGAATAAAGGAGCACAGCGGGTGAGTGCGTTTCTTCGAGCAGATCCAATTACGTGGATCGATTTAATCGCTCGGCCGCGTATTCAATATTTCAGTGCGGAAGTTTTCGTTTAATCAACCGACACGTGAAACTAGTGCGTTCAAGATGAACACGGTGAACGCTCGATAAATTTGCCAGTCCGTTGTCAATGCGAAATTTATTGGCAGTCGAAAAAGCTTGGAAAGGATTATTTGCGATAGCGAGCGCCAATATATGTACGTATGGAAGCTGATTCAAAATTTCGACAATAGATTGCACGGGGCGCGATGCACACGCTACCGCCGCATTCTCTTCCTCCCTTGTATAATTTTACCGTACGAGAACCACCGTCGAGACTCAACTACTCGGCCATTCATATCGGACGTTCCTCTTTTATGTTATACACTGTACACCATGAAGATTCGCAAATGAAAACAGTGAAAGATTACAAACACCGAATAATTAAAATGTCATCCGACCACATACTCGATACGTGAAATCACGAGTCTGCTCGCCATAAGAGGGCGGAGTCGTGTTGTTCCTTGCAAAAGTGAATTAATTCGAAAAAATACGGCACGAACATAATAGCAGCTGCAATCTTTGATAATCAATCGAAAGTCGATCGTTTCTCTCTTTCCGAGTGTATACTCGTAATATCGTTCACATCGATAAATTTAATTTCGTGCTATAACAAGTTGATTGAATTCGTTGATCATATTGTAACGCTTCATGTAAATCCAACCAGATATAAAGAAATATATGTACATAATGATGTTACGAATATGAAAACAATAGAGAATTATTGGTCGGAAATTATCCCCTAGTAAGGCGCATGCCTGAGCAAACAACATGTTTAATCGATAAACGTGTCGTCCAAATTACATTGCTCTAACTTTAAGGATGTCCATACCGTTATGTTTAACCGCAAGTTATTTTTCAAACACCAAATGCAAATATTTTTACGTGTTTAGATCGTATATTACGACACACAATTATGGATATATGTACACATACATACACGCAGATGCTTTTGTAACCCCGTAGACGCAATAATTCGACGACAAAGAGGTTACAACGCTCCAGTCGAACTGCCATGTAACGGGAGCGCGTTTCATATCATTTTATTCTCATCTAGTCCGTGGTTTTAATTTTTTCGGATTTGTTTTAATTCGAGTCAACCTAACCCCCAATCGGTGGAAGAGTAATACGTTGTTTTTAGCAGGCCTAAAAACATTACGAAGCTTTTTACAATCTTTACGAGCACACGTGCAAACTTTCTTCAAATTCCCGATGATTGTCGATTTTCGACCTATTCGGTTATTAATGAAAGACATAAAAATCGATATTAAGAAATACATGGTGATTTGTTCGACAAAGAATCTTTTTTGCTTTTAAAAATGAGAAAATGATGACGCATCGTTCAAGATGATTAAACAATTTGCCGGTATAGCTGGTCATAATGTAACGAAATACTTAATGTTTTACAAATTCTCTTTAAATACAAATAAAAGTATTATATCAAGCACGCTGTGCGTTTACTTACATTTGATGTTATCTTTGATTTGTACTGGGTAATTGGTCAGATCAAGGACTTTTTGAACAGAACATCTTTTATCTGAATTATATATGTATAATTATATATGTTGCCTAAAAAATAAGCGTGCAACGTTGAAATACTATTATTATTATTAGTATGAAGTGCAACGTTTATTGTGATAAAAATTTTACAAAATATTCTTTTAAAAATTTAAGCATTTTTCTTTAAATTTTTTATGCTTTATCTAAGGATAATTCAAATATTTTATATTATTTCAACTATTATTGTAATTATTAAATCCTACCAACTATGTTCTCTTTGTTTCACGTTATTAACCACGGGTGAAATAAAGAAAAACCTTTCGTACAACTATCGAGCGGCTTCATTATGCATATACTCATGTTCCTGGAATTATTGCATAATTTATGACGCACTGAGTTGACCATGATAACATTAAATGTTCAGTAGGAACTGTTATCGTTTTATCAGTTTCATTAACGACCTAACTGTTGACTTTGGTTGTCGTTTATTTCTCCTGTAAATATTTTCGATATGCGTCACCGATTCTTGTCACGCATTGTCATGTATCACAACGTTTCTAACGGATATTGCGCAAAACACGATTGTATTTTCGGAAAATAACTCAATTATGTACGTGTACATGCACGATTAATATTATTAATACTTGGAAACACATGTTACACAAATTTTTGCACTTGTCTCTGATAATCGTAAAAAGTTATTGAGAAATTGTTATATATAGTAGTAAGCAAATTTTAGACGCTACGCCGAAATAAAAAAATTAAGTACGGTTTAAGAAACGTAGAATTCCGCAAAGAGCTCGATTCTATACAGTATTCTCATACTGAAATGCACACTATGAACAAAATGTGAATACTATACGGTTATCATATATATACAGTTATTGTATTATTAGTAATCTTTTATGTTGAAGGAATGAATCTCTAAAATTTCTCTTCGTAGATATCAAAGAACTCTTACACTTGTCATTGTATATGTGAAAAATATTTATCAATTTCTTATAACTTCTACTTCATAATTATATTATTTTCATTTATCTGTTAACCTAATAATTGATAAAAAAGGATTGCAAATTTGAAATCACGTTTTCCAACTTTCTCGCGTGTAATTCAACATTTTCAAATATCGTTCATGCTTTATCGATTCCAATTCTCTTGCATTTTCACGTTACCTCATAGGATACAACTGATCGCTTTTAGAAAGCTGGTGAAAATATTATTATCGTTGAAAATGTCTATGAAAGTCAGTATATGGTCGATGATTAACCAATCGAACATTCAAATCATGATCCATATACTTGCTTAATTTAGTTCTGTTCGCGAATAACCAAACAGGAAATTTGACATATAAAATTTAAAAGCCGATTCACACTGTGTCCTATCGAGTCTCGGTAACGACGCTAGAAATCTATAGAGAACGATCTAATATATTAAACCTATTTATAATATTATATTCCTGTTATAATAATATTTGTATGCTACACCAACTAAGAAGCTCCTGTACGAATATTATTATAATCCACACTGACATTCTATACATATACATATATTAATACTATTAATATATTGTGTTTATATTATATGTTATATGTGTATAATAATATTAATATTGTCGAATATATAAATATTTATGATGTCCGTCAATGACATGATACGGCAATTGCATTTTTATTATTGCCGTCTAGTGGGGATCGGCTTTATATTTTCACAAAGAATTATCATTCGTTTACAGAGATATTCATTTTTTGATATTTCAACTAAAGAAATAAATATATTATAAATACTTTTTTAAACCGAGAATGAATAGTGCAAAGTTGAAATTGGGCATTCTACAACGTTGCGTATTCAAATATGAAAATTATATATTTCCAGGATAGAATTTCTCTTGGAAGCAAATACACGGACAAATGATGGATAACTTTATTTGCTCTAAGCAAAATTCTGGTGTAAGAAAATTCATATTATCGAAGAATAATTAAAAATTTTTTAATATTTTGAAGCTTCTGTAGTTGCAAGGGTATTTCTCACTGCGTATGGTACGTGATTATGAGGTCAAGAATTAACGGAGAAGGTCATTGTAATAAATTATAGGCATTTTCTTCGGTATATGACGTTACCACACAGATATAGATTAGTAACGCACAAGATGTTGCGAGAAATTGTATTGTAAGGATGTAACAAACAATTGTAATGTTTAAACGAGCAGTACCATACATGTAATCTGTTTGTTTAAAATAAATACCCATTAAGTGTACAAACAATTTCGACCTGAAGAATTAATAGAAATACACCTTTAAATAAATTAATCGTTTTGGATAGTTTAGTAACTCTTTTCTGTTCTCAGTTGATTATTCATATACTGATAATTTATACATGGAAAATGTGCACGATCGGGAATACAAAATAAATCTTTTCTTAAATAAAAACTAAAATTGAGCCAAGTTGATTGTCATGGTACATAGTCCTTGAATTATATACTTTCATAGCGAATGTCAGATGGCACTGTAGTTGCTATAAAGTTTGTTTACTTCGTTCCCGTAATACTTAGTTCGTAGCAGCTCGTAGTAGTAAGTACAAATTATTCTGTTGATATTATTAATATTATACAATGTAATACTTAAAGTTTTATACTATAATAAATAAAATATTTCTTATTTAGTTTCAGTAAAGTTTAACCACCAATGGGTAGAAGATATTATTGCGAGTATTGTGACAGATCCTTTAAGGATGACCCAGAAGCCAGAAAAAAACATCTTTCGAGTTTACAACATACAAAAAATCGCGCAGATCATTATAATATGTTCAAAGATAAATATCTAGTAATACTTCATCGATAAAATATTTAAAACATATGAAATTAAGTATAACTTGCTAATCATAACCTCAAAATTGTTACACATTCGTTACGATTATAAAAATAATTTTATTTATTTTTCTTTATAAATCCAGAAGCTATATTAAAAGAAGAAAGCGCAAAGATACCATGCAAATGGTATTTAAGTGGTGGTGATTGCGCATTTGGCCTTGGTTGCAGATATTCCCACTATACTCCTCCTATGATATGGGAACTTCAACGACTGGGTAATGATCATAATAATTCAAAGTAAATGTAAAAAGAATACTATATCGCATACTATATAACCATTATTTATTATTTATAGTTGCTATGAAATATCAATCAAAACTGAATGTGACGCTTCAAAATGGTTGGCCAAATACTGATGATATAATCAAAGAATATTTTGAGAATCCTACAAGTACAAGCGATGCAGATGATTTTATTTATCCTGTTTGGCCTAGACCGTTGGAATTACAGAATTGTTCTATGTTGCCACCATCATTATGGCCTATCACACCAGAAAGCTTAGCAAATACCAAAACTTTCAAGGAATGGAGTTAAAAACATAAGAAGTATAGGATTCTTTCTTAAATTGAATTAAATTATAGTTTGATTGCAATCTCAACTTGATACATGTAAATAATTCAAAATGTACTTCTTTTTCAAAGGATCGGATATATCGTAAATAAATTGATATAAATACAAATTACCGGAAATTTCTGAAATATCCTTAATTCAGAACTAGTAAAATAATACTTAAAAAATGCAACAGTTAAATAGTATGTAGTAATTTTTCGACATTTTCCGATTAAACAGATGCACCATCTTACGAGGCAAGGATGAATCAGACTCGGTGCTGCTTGATGTTTGCCGGTAACCTCCGTGACTACCATCTGTCCTCCATCATCCCCTCCGCCAATCACCAAGCAGAAAGGCGAGCACACAATGAACCTTGGAACACCGTCACGCAGTAACGAAGCACCCGTTGCTACGATAGTTTGGCATTTAAGTGTCGTGTTCGGCGCGCCGTCGTGTCGTTTCAATTTAAAAACGAATTCAGTGTATGTTCGTAGCTGAGGACTGTGTTGCGATTATGAGATTGACTCGATCACGTAACTCGTGTGAATTTACGCTGGTGTACCAATCAGAAAGTGTTTGAAACTTCTCAGTGCATCGGCACGGCGGGACGCCGGCCCTCGATTAACCGACTGGATTTTCGATCGTCGCTTCGGATCAACTCGATCGCACCGGTGAGTCTTCACCAATATCTCCTCTGCTCATTGTGCACGTTTTATCTGTAATCAAATCATATGGTTCTTATTCCATAAAAGATGTATATGTATAATAGGATTAAGCTTAAACGAAACACGTGATTTGGTTAACAGAGAAAACATTCATAGCTATGAGAGATCGTAACTTTTTACGACCATAAATAAAGGTAGATATAGTTCGAAGAAAGTGTTTAGGTATACGGAAAATATTACAAAGTGATAATTTTCAAACATCAATGATATGTAAGAAAAATGCTTATTGTTAGATTTGCGAGCGCATAAAATTATAAACAGACCCATACATCGTATGGTTTTTAACAACGCGTGACTTCAATTTGACAAGTATGAAACGTCATTTGAATTCATACGATCTCTTTCTTCACGTACTTTCCCTCAGTTACCGAATTTAAATACAATAGATTGGCTTCGATTAGTTTGCGCAACCGGAACAATGTTATTGCCTCCAACAATATACTATCATTTTGCTAGTTTTTCTTTATTTTCTATAGCGTGAAACTTTATAAGCTTTAAATCATATTATTTAATTAAGGAATCGTTTCGCTTTACATAAAAGGAGGCACTGAATTAGTGCTCCAACATGAATCGTGTGAATTTAAGTATGCAATATATACGTTCTATATTATGCGTTGATAACTAAGGAAGCCATTTAACCAGTAAATGACATTTTATAATCTTAGTTATAATTATAAATTACTATACTATTACGGTTATAAAAAATTAGCTAAATTGAAAAAGTGTCGCCATTATTGTAATTGGTTAAGAGATAATATTTATTTCACGATCATCACAGTACCATATTTTCTCGTTCGAGATTCGATACTCGTGCGCTGTTATAGCAACGGAAATCGGTTCGTACTTACGTATGATGATACCCTTTGATAATGTATGCATTATCATGGATACGATAACATACTGATTGTGAGTATCAAATTGATTTTACCCAAGCATTATTCCTGTTAATATAGTCATAAAATGACTCTTACAATTTCTACACCATATTATTACACACTTTTCAAGCATTACATGCAAACTTTGCTTCTCATAAACATATGAAAGAATAGATATATTCCAATGAATTTTCAGAATCTTAATTTACAAATAAGAAAGAAATTACAGCACCTAATAATAACTAATAATCTGTATAGTGTTTAATAGCAATAATTAAACATTAATGATAAATAACGCGATTACAAAATCTGAATGAACTTGATTGATATAGAGAAAGTGATTAGAAGATGGTCGGCACGGATTCACAGATATTACATCACTGATATCGTTTCCGCCATAACGTCCATGGAGTCTGGTAGTGTGACGATCGAGTGGCAACGACCTGCTCCTGTCCGCCATAGACAAGAAAGAGTGGAGCTACGTGTAGTCGCGTCACGATTCTTGCCGGAGGTCATGACCTTGTCGATATGGAAATAATGGTGCGTTTGGGATCGTCCCCGTGCCCGTGCCCGTGAGTCAGTTTCCCGATCGATTTCAGGCATGCATCAGCGTCCATTGTCGCGTTCCGCGCACACCACAATGGACTTGTCTATTTTCGAGCAGCTGCGCGGCCCTCTTTCGAACAATGCAGCCCAGAGTAAGCAACATGCATGCGCGGATCCGATCACTTTTCGATCATACTTTTCGTAAAATGGTGACCTACCGCTGGACACCCTACACCACGCTCACTATCCCGATCAATATTTCTAGTTTACATAGTCTGTTTTTAAACATATTATATATTATAATATATATTATATTATATTACATATATATATTATTGAATGTAATGCGGAGGTTTTATCAAAATACAACTTGAATCGTCGAATCAATGCGTTCATAATGTATGTATCTATATATATGTAGTATGCCTTCATGGGTGATTTTGAGAGAATTAAAGATCTTATTGAGATTACAAACTACTTCATGATACTAATATGAAACGAAGAAGGCATTATGCCCCAAGTCATTAAATTGTATTATGTTAAATATAAATTAGCATAAGGTTATATTTTTAAATCAGAAGGAATAAAATTAAATATAATTAATTAAGTTCATAGTTATGAACTATTAGAAATTAATAATTTCTTCTATGATATTAACTATTGGATTACCTCAGCTACCAGTAATATTCAGAAATTGTGCAATATTTAAATGACAATTCTAATCCATTCAAAATCATTCAGATCGTACAAGACTAATCGTATCTATTAGACGTAAAAAACTATCTTAGATCAAAGCTGATTTCTCGCATGACATCCACGTTAAAACTAATTCCCCTTCGACACGCATTGGAATACACGTATCTAATCGACGATTAATCTTCGCAAGGACAATACGTACAACCAATCTTTACAATCTGCCGATAACACGCGATCAAACGATCATTTTCATTTTCATTCTCCTTCTGCGGCAGCAGCGAGAAGTTTCGAGGTTCGCAGATTTAATTCGACGCGAAGTATTTCGTTCGGCCACGTCTAGGAGCACATGAGCTGCTAAAAACGAGCCACTCGGCAATTTAACGTCATTTATTTCTATTGCCTTTATGCGGGCCTATTACGTCATGCGATTTCTCTCTGTCCTTTACCGCGTGGCAAGTTGTACCCGGTCGCATGTATCACGATCGTTTCGCAATTCTTCCACGAGAGTCAATCATCGGACAATTTTCCAAATTGCCAAACATTGTTATCGATGAACACCATGGTTGATCGTTTTGCACTCGTGTTGAACCAGGCGACACGTCATTGTTTTGTCCGATCCGATATAAGTCGACGTAAATTTATCGCAGTTGATAAACACCGATATTCATAGAAATATTTTTTCTTGGTAACTCGTTGTGTTTCTTCGAGCAGAATTCATAATTACACATACATCTACAGTATAAAACAAGATAAAATAAAATACGAGGAAGGATATTGGAGTATTATATTATTCCTGTTTTGTATTTACCACCATTATGTAATGATTTACCGTACAAATCATTTATCATAGCTAACTACTTAATGTAATTTACCGCATGATATAGATTTGAATGTTTTTTAACATGTAAAAAATTAATACAGAATTAAACTTAGAAATTCCTAGACTTTAGGAAAGCATCTTAAAAATAAATTTTTATAAATAATGCGAAACTTGCGACAGTGAATAAAGATTCAGTAATAGATTTTTCAAGTTTTGTAACAAAGTTTTCATTGAAACGATTTTAGCAAGCGTATATTTTCAAATGTCACTTGTTCATTTCAAGCACGCACGGATAATGCTCTTACATGACAAACGGTTAGCTGTAAAATTAACTAACAATGACATAGATATCATGTTCTGTGAAATTTTTTGGAAAATTTCAGACTCTCACAGAGGTCATTTTCTCGTTTAAAAATTGTTCTGTCACGTTATTCGTATGTCTTTCTTTTTTCAAATTCAAACAACATAAGATATTAGCTACTATTTTTAAAGATAAGAGTGCTACTTCCACAGATTTATATTGGTCAAAAGAATAAAAAAGTGAAAGTCTAGTAAAAGGAAAACAATAATAGATGGTACTATTAAAAAGTGAAATTATATTTTTCCGCGCAGACATTTCAAAAATTCTAACCGGTTCTTTGGTAGAGGTGATCTGAGAAAGATACATACGTATGTATTATGCGTGCTCTGAAAGAACTAATAAAATTCCCACACAGTTCTCCAGTTCTTTCTTTCGTGTTTAAATGGACAATCGTGGAGTTTCGCAGCTTCCGTCATTTATAAATAATAGCATTAAATAGTAGCAATCTCGAAGGTTTCGTAAGTTTCAATATTTTTACTTTTATATTTCTTAAATGTGTTTTCTAAACAGTGTTTTCTAAAAGATTGTTTTCTTTTATAAATGTGCAGTATATTCCAGTTTTAGTGGGAATATTCATTTTTCACTGAATAAGATTTTTTATTAATATAAATTTATTCGTATAGAGAAATAATAATTCGCATAGAGAATAAAAATACTTAATATCAGTTATTAGAATCACTTATCGTTTCAATTAATCAAATAGGTCCCATATATCGTAACTTATCCGAGTTGAAAGTAACGTCCAATGATTGATACGGTCACTGAGGATTCAATATGATTCTGCATTCTGAACACGTGTTTGCCTCTTTAAATAGCGTTTTGTGCAAGGGTCAGTCCGTTCAATTCAAGATTCGTTCTTTTTGTGCTGCTAAAAAACGATTACTTTGTCTGCAGAGTTTTTTAAATTCTTTAATAATTCCGAGACGGAGGTTTCGGCGCGCGTTGTGCGAATTAAAATCGATAAGGTCAGGCACAAAGCGCTCGTCATGATATCGAGGTGCGTATGATTGGTCAACAATAATTGACAACTTACATTTTGTGTTACTGTGTTGTACTTACTCGATTACATTATTTGCTCTTTCTTTCTTTCCGTATCTTTT